AGTTCACTTCTTGACAGCTGTAAAGAGAGGACAAAGTAAAAAAGTGAAACCAATTCACAGCCTCAATGAATATGGATGCTGTCTGCTACACTTCAACAGGACAGTGCCCAGACGACACTTCCCATTTCAGACCACCACAAGTAAACACTTGTGCAAGTCTCACAAAAACTGTTTTTAAACACATTCTGCAATTTTCTTGGGCTTAATAATGTGGGGTGGCAGCAAACTAGTGACAGCTCCTCAGATATGCTCCTCAGGCAATTTGAAGAGGCTGTTTTTGGCTGTCAACTCAGAGCCTGCAAAAAGCAATAAGGAAGACAGAGGGGAAAGCCCATGGTGAGCAAGAAAGGGTTAACAGTCATATGGGGGGATAATGAGACAATGGTGGCCATTCTTCCATGGTGTTTAGGTACTGGAGGGCTGCCATTTGTGATGGACTGAACTAGCTTAGCAAGGGCAGCAACGGACTTTGGGTAGTTCAGTCACCACTTCCCTGAGTCCATAACGGGGTGGGTCACGTGGTTTCAGACAACCAGCAATTCATTGTGGAACAAGAGCCTCTAAGACAAGCCATGAGCTTGTTGCCTTCAAACTATCTATCTGGCAGAAGCATGATGCAGCAACCTGCTGTGCCTTGTAATTCAGGAAAGGTTGTCATGTCACAGAAACCCACTCAGTGCCTCAACTGAAAATTTAATATTTCATAGAGCTCTGAAGGAAGGCACTCCTCTGTTGCAGGCTTGGCTTCCAGGAACCCACAACATGTCAAAGCACCAGTAGCTCTAAAACTTCTAACCGGTGAACTCATAAACTGCCCCGACACTATTATTTAATACAGCATAACCATCAGTTTTGAAATACTGCACATAATTACACCGTGAATATTTACACTAGCAAGCAACAGTACTGGTATTCTGTAACACTTTCTATTTTAAAGAATTTTCAAAAGCAGTAATTTTCTTAAAAGAGAAAGAGAGGAGTACAATCTTGGTGCAGGAACTGAGACTTACTACTTACAAAATACTTCAAGAAGTTTTTCACATAATTTATTTCATCAAACAATTTGAGTTTTGCTGTAAGAAGTGATATTTAAATCTTAGTTATGAGAAATCTGGCACAACACTAGTGAATACCACATTCAACAGGTAAGGATTTCTCGTGAGTAGCCAAGACTAAATTCCCCCAGCCTGGTGTCCTCCAGTTGTTTTGCACTATACCATCCATTATGCCTGACTATTGGCTGTGCAGGCTGAGGCAGATGTAAACTGGTCCCAAACACTTGAGGACACTTGAGATGCACTCTCCTCCTGCTCACGTGCTTCTGTATGAGAGCCCCTTTCTCTTTCTGCTTTAAATCATTTATGTATTGTAAATCTGTGCCACTGTCCCATGCACTTATTCACTATAGGCATCATACCAGTTTATTTCAGGGGATTCCACAGCCTAAGCTTATCTCAGTTTCCTTCCTTTCCTGGCTTTCCACTCACAGTTCATCAAATCTGTTAGGGTGACACAAAGGCACACCATCTTGCGTAACACAACATTACAGCAGCATGACATGTATCTTGAATTTTTATTTTCAACATTATACCATGAAATTGGGAAACCCACAGAGAAGGAAAGAAGCCTTAAAGCCAAATGCTTTTAAAAGTATCTTAGAATGTATAATACAACTAAAGAGAAGCCAAATTGTCCTGTTGATTAATAGGTAACAAATATTACTGAAATGCCATGGTCATTATAAGCTGGAAATTTCAAGAACCTAATACAACACTGATGCACTTAAATCCTTTAAGGTTTTTTAAACCTGTGTGTCATGATTCCGATTTGCAAGTTCATTAATGACTATTTAATGAACCTAAGTATTAATTTTCTAATATTTGATAATCATATTGGAGAAGAATATCAAATCCTCCTTTCTTCTGCTACTGTTAACTCAAAGATGAACAAGCATGAATTGATACAATTAGTTTCCAAATGTGTGCACACGTATATTCTTAATAAACAAATGACTTCATTTTTCTACAGAGAAGATTGTGGCAACATACTAACTGAAACAGCTACATGAATGAAACGCACACTCTAGACAACTCAGCATTTGTGTTAATACAACATTACTGTATTAAAACTGTAATAAATCCAATCCTTAAAAGAGGATACCAAAAGAATTTGATTAATACTAGCAGATTTAAAAAATATTTATGAGTCCTATTACAGAAATAATACTAAATTATTTTTCTAAATTCTCTATAAAATGCTTAATTTTTTAAGTCCTTCAATTATTTATCTATTTGCTCAGCAGTTCTTATACACATCATGATAAATGTCATCTGATCATAATACAAGTTCAACTAACACAGCTGCTGTGTTTCTGGAACAAAGTCTTAATCATAAATCAATTGACTAATTTAACATTGTTTCCACTAGTTCCTTGAATCTTTCTAGTTTGTGTACTTTTTGAAAGGGCAATACATTTATTCAACACACAAAATGCCTATCATTCATACTGTTTCCTATTCTCTAAGACTGAAAAATGACGTTATCATTTAAATGCTAGTGGATTTTACCACTAATTAAAAATGTTCATTGATTCAGAAAGCAGAGAATATAGCAAATACAAATAACCAAGCCTAAGCTTTCAAAGTTCTTCTTGGGCCCTCCAAACCTTAAAACATCTATTTGATGATGCAGTAAATTCAAACTTCATAGGAAAAGACTCATAAACATGTTTGCTGTTGCATTCTTCCTGAATTAACAAATACTTCCTTTACAGTATTACCAGAATTTTGACCAATAATTTTTTTTGGCTAGTTGAACAACTCATTCAATTCATAGTTCAGATTAATAACATTACCCAAAAAGCACAAATTAAAATACAGCCACCAATAAAATGTTATAATCATTTGCATCTGTCTGCACTGCCCCAAAAGGCTCATCACTGCACTCCTCATAATAAAATCTGATTTTGCACTTTAATGCAATATATATATATAGCAGAAAGAGAGGTTTCAAAGATCAGTCACTCTGCTAGGATGAAGGGAAAATGGTCATCATTCTGACTTCACTAGATGCCATTCCATATCACACAATGTTTCCTCTCATAAAAACATGACAAATACTTCCTCAATCATTTTTTACGAGCAGGGATGCACAGGGGGTTGTCAATGGCTAGCTTGAGGGAAAATAGGAACAGCAGGCGGCAGAAACTGTACTGAAAATGGTTATGTGGTAAATTCTCTTCTGCAACATCATTCAGCTATCCCAGCCTTTGATCTTTCAGCTACAATTACACTAACATCTACAAAACCTAGATTAAAAAAAAAACAAAACAAAAAAACAAAAAATCTTTCAACCATCAGTTCTGCATGAGCACAATATTGTTTTATTATTTCATAACAATATAAATATAATATTTACAAATTTAAAAGTCATGCTAATCATGCTAAGTTTTATATTCTATCCTCACTACACTGGTCTCACACTCACAAAATGGGGTGCCTAGTGACAGCTAAATCACAAATCACAGACTGGCATCGCCAAGCAGACTGAGGGATGGTAGTTACTGTACATTTAGAGGCAATGAATGATACCTGTGAACACCTCAGTACAGGTGTGATGGTCTATCCTTGAGAAGGAAACCACCTTAACTCATTTTCAAATAAACTTTGATGCATATTGTGATGGTGACCGTTTTGAAACCTGTACAATAGCATTTCACTCAGAATGTGAAATTTAATGTCATATCACAATGTTTTGCCACTGAGCAACTCTTCATAGTTTTGTCAAGACTAGAAATATCCTGTTACACAGAAATAAAGGTTTTTCCAAGATCGTATTCTGAACTGAAGTTTTAAAGTGATCACTAAAAAAAGTTTAACATCATTACTTACCATACACAGAAATGCAGTATAACATCAGGAATGTAACAAGTTTTACATGATATAGCAGAATTCATTCTAATAACTTATTACAGTTATGCGTCTGACATTAATTATTGCTTTGGCTTCCAGTCTATGAATGTTTATTTTTCAGTTTAAAGCCTTCTCACTCTTTGATATCATATGGAAATGAGAAATTTTAATGGAAAATTGAAACCATGTGCATCTAAGTACTTAATGAACTACAGGGACAGTGAGAAGGGTATGTTTTAGAAGAATTCTGATATGCTACTCTGGATCCATGTAAAAATACTTAGCAAATACAATCAAATCTTGTATTTCACAAAGACTTTTTGTATACTATTTGTACCAAAAACTTAAAACTAGAGTGTTTAAATTCATATTCCTTTTTAATTAAATAGAAAAAAAAGCTTCTTGCTCAAATTAACCATTTTATTTCTTCTGAAACCTTTTCAGGCTAACTAATGCAGTATTATTTTCAAACACCACAAATCTATTGTCTCCCCACAGTTTGAGATTGAATCTTAATATTGGTCACTGCCTGTCTAACAGTTTATTCTGCAGCCATTATAAATGAATCCATACTGGCAACAATATGAAAGTTTCTGAACCGCATGTGATGAACAACATCCATAAGATAGTACATCTTTTAAGTTTAAAAACTAATGCACAAAGTTGAACTGTATGGGACATATAGATATATGCATTCCTCTACTTCCTTTTTAGAGAGCACTCTTATACTCAGATTTTTATTCAGTATTTAATAAATAAAAAACATATTTCTTACATAAATAAAAACATATTTCTAAAGTTAAGTACTACTGACAAGTCAAAACTTTTTTCATAATTAAGTGGGGGAGAGGGATTCTTTCCACAATGTTTCCATTCCTGTAAGATAGGGGAGATTACCCCATGATTCTGTAAATCTTTAGGAGTTTTTACTTGTACTGCATTAAACAGACAACACAAATAAATACATTGCTGATATTAGAATCAAGATTTTAATCTGAGTACAAAAAGCATGACTAACCATTCTGGTAATTCCAACAAACATTAAAGTTTTTGAATTAAAGAAAATTAAGTCAACTTCCGTAAACTCACCACTTGTTTTTCTTTCTAATGTAGTCTTTTTCAGAGAGGTTAACCAAGTAGATCATTGGTTTTGAAGTTAAAAACAAATGTTTGTTCAGCACATCAATCTAAAAGACAAGAAATACAAACTACACTAAAACAGAAAAAGAGTTACGAACACTGCAGTACTGCTGTTTACTCTCCGAAACAGAAAAGCTAATTATTAAAAGCAATTCACATGGTTTGCAAATGATGATATTAACTAACTGGAGTTAAATTAAAATGTTTAAATAAAGATCTGATCTATTAGGGATTTTTAAACAAAGCACAACATTAGCTTTAGTGGATGAGGTTATAGTTACAAGCCTACCTCTTTGTCATTCCAATCATGGTAGAAACGGACTGGCTTTTTTTCATCTATTACCCAGCTTTTGATTTTGCACATTATGTCCTGTGCAGAATTAAAAAGAAACAAGAGACATTAATGTAGTATACTCAACTATATGCAGGAGACAATTATTTGTCATGAGGTTGTCATTCCAGATACTAAAATGGCATGTTTCTTCTAATTAAAATTATATATATGAAAATGAATGAAAGGGACTCAGGAGTCATGTTAGGCCTAGAGTAGATGAACATGAAATAACCAATTCAGTCTCTTCATTGAAAAATGTAAGTTATATTTGCTTCGCCCAAACTGAATGAAAAATTCGATATAAATATTTAAAACTGATTTCCAAAACTTCATATTGGCCTATTAATTACGCGTCCCATAGAACAGAAATAAGATACAATGGCAAAAGAATATGTGCAAACAGTGACATGTGTGTTTTTAGACCACTGCTAGCAAAAGAAATTTGAGTTGATTATTGAGGATCCACCCTCCAAGATATTAATGCAAATGGCCCAAGGCCTCCATATTGTGCATTAATTTTTTTTGTCAACATCTTCTCCTTTCCTCCAAAAATGAAACTTGCCAAAGCTTCCATTACACAATGGCAAGAGCCTTGCACTGGTGACCTCCAACCAGCTGCATTCACTTTCAGAACATCTCTCCCTGCAGGAAATCTAAAGGCCTTTTAGTTAGCAAGCTAGTGTGCATTCAGAAGGAGTAACTGCAGGAAGAGCCCAATGTGCTTTGTTTCTCTGGCCTTTCTTCACAGAAAGATTAATCATCTGTGAAATGGAAACGGCAAACAGCAAGTGACACAAACTGAACCCTTCAAGCCTTTCCTCATCAGTTTTGTGGTTCTGAATCTGAAAGCTGCGTGTGGCAAGGTTTGCCTTACAGGCAGGTGTTAATAAAAGGCTCTTAGGTCTGAAAGGTCAAACCAAGCTCTTCTAGAAGTAGTACATTTTAGTGTCAATTTTTGTCAAAGATAATTTATAGTCATACTCTAAACACTGCATTGCATGATAGTTACCACTAGCATGATATTTAATTAAAGAATTTAACATGAATTTCTAGTTACTAAATGTTTATTCAAGGCACATGTTTACCTTGTCAATAAAGAGGTCAAATATCTATAATACACAGACTTAGTATTTAGTTTACTACTACTCCCAATCTTGCAATTGCTTCAGGGGGAAAACAAGAGGAAAGCTCTTCTAAATCTTAGATCCTGATTTGCAACCCTCCAGGAGTGGGGCTCCCCACAGATTTTAACAAGAAAGGGGCAAGCTGAAAACTTTTAATGAAACATAACATGTTCTGCCTAAGAATAATCACTTTTACTCTCTTATAACTGATTTTCACTCATAAATGTTTTAAAAGTGGCTAATGTAACACCATTTCCTACAAGGAGAAGATCAAAGTGCTATATTACAAATGCATTATGATTAAAAAAGCACTGTGCAGCCTTGCTATTAAATGTTCTTTAAACCCTAAAAGGCTTCCCATAGATCTCACTTGGCACTGCATATACAACCTTTGACAAGTAATGTAGACCATTTTTATTCATTGCCTAAAATTGTAGGCAATTATGTGCGTCACACTGGCCACCTGCAAGTTCTGAATGCTTGCTCCAGTTGTCAGAGCTAAAAACTAATGTCGGAGGGGATTAATCTAGGGGGAGAGAGTCCTCTTTAATGGTTCCAGCAGGTGAAATGGCCCAGCTGGTTACTATGATGAGTGGCCAGAATAGCTTATGTAGAGACATGCAACAAGATTACACACTTAAAAAACATAGTAGAATTATCTTATCTTTGGTCCCCATCTATGTTTTGTGCTTTATTCAATCAATAAATAATTCACTCAAGTTTAAAATATGCTGTAAGTCTTAGACTTCATTATAAGAACAACTGCTCAAACAATTCTACTTAACTAGTGGAGGAATTTTATATTGTTTTCTGATCTTCAGATTAATAGTTATACATTTCAACTTTTAAACCATTAGTGTTTTAAAAAGATAAAACAAAGCACCAACACATTCTATTATGTGAATTAGATGATAAAATCTTTGTTATGAAACAGTTCGAATCTTTTGGACGCCACAGAATAATGACAGAAATCTCTCCTGTATATTTGATTTATTTATCCTTTATCTCTGCACAAACAGCAGTTCTTCCATTCCTATCCAAAGTGTTCAGCTGACCTTACTGAATATAATACAAAAAAGAATTGATATTAAAGACATTCCCCTAGTTTAAACATTGGTACCAAAACCCATATTCTGACAAAATAGATCATGTTTAATTATTGTTATTAAAACATTTGATGCACAGTGGTTACTGCAATTATTATTAGGACAACTTTTGTCCATCAGCATGAAAAGCATGGACAGTGCATTGATCTCCATGGCTGTCCCTCCGTCTTGACACACCCTTTCTCTGGAAATGTCTAAAATTCCTGAGCTAAAGAATTCACTGAAAATGTTTGTAAGACTTGTCTGGGTTCATTTTAATGCCTGATATTAAGCAGAAATCACATTTTAACATTAAACTTATTTCAATATTTGAACTGTTTTACATATGTCTTTCAACAGTGCTACCTCAAGCTCTCCAGGCAGGATAACACTGATAAAATAAACTCAGAGAAATTTAATTCCTTTCCTCTAGTATTCATTGCATCAGCACAGTACTATGTCAAACAACAGATTGATACATTAATATCTGAGATAATGTTCTGAGAATTGTAATTCTTTAAAAGGGTGGAAGATAATTTTGTGCATGGTGGTTCAGGGCTGGTCCTTCACCTTGTCTCACCTAACACTTTGAAACAGTTATCTGAATGTCTTCCAAGATTTTGGCTTCTAAGAACAGAGGCTCCCAAATTCCACAATGAGAATGGAAGGTCTGGGACAGTTACCAGCAAGCCTTCCTACATGAACTAGCAAGTCCCAAGCTCTGCTCTATGAGCAGCTAGGATTTCTCTTGTTCTTCATTTCATTCCAGCAGCCCCTTCCTCCCTCTGCCCACAGCCATGCTTCAAAACCTTCGGAGGAAAATGACAATAAAGGCACCAGCATGTGCTCTGGAGACTTGCTGGACCACAGCCACTGTGAGTGATTATGGTTTTCTACAGAAGAAGGAAATGGTTGCAAATATGATACTGCTTCTCGTTTTAGAGACCAGAGAAATGGATCAAATACAAAATCATATCAAATAAATCAGTACTTTCTGATATATTATTCAGGCAACTGGACAAGGGAATAGCATGTAAATACAAATAATGCAACAGTGAACAAAAGTTCACTACCACTCACATCAGATCAGTGGCTAAAAGGGGAAGACTGCTGAGGCTCAAGTAAGTGAATGTTCTTCCATACAAACTAGACTCCCTGAATACATAAAATCAGGTGTTAAGTAGAGGGTTCCAAGTCTTCTCTTTAACATGCTAGCGTTTTCCATGTGGGAACATTTGTGGGGGGGGGGGGCTGGTGGTATAGAAGAGCATTGCACATCATGTCAGTGACCATCTGCAGACTGAAATGGATTACCCTCGTCTTCAAGCAGGCCTGTAGTTTGAGCCTGACTACACCTCAAGAACAGCAGCCTTTGCAAAAACCCTCCATCCAAAATATTTGATGACAATGTGCACATTGCAGACCTACAAATCTTCTCCAAGGGAGCTCAATTGTCAAACACTGCAGACACAGCTGCTCCACCTATCACTAAGTGAGCAGTGATACCAAGAAGTGACACCTTTGCCAGGGCAGAAACAGTGACCTCTCAAATTCATCTAGATAGTGTAGCTCTGGATATTTTCTTACTCATCAAATGGGTTCTGGCAACACAGGTACTCACATTCAGGGGTTGAGTATCGGTTCAATTTGAGTTGTCATTGTACCATGGCAGCTGCTGTTGAAACATGGGTTATCTGGTTATCTGAACCCAGCTGAGATAACAAGCTATGGTGAACAACCCACAGTGCACAACCCAACACCAAACCAGGAGTTCTTTTCATGGATTGTTCATGGTTTATTAACAGTGGTGGGTTCAGAAAACACAATAACCAATACTTCAATAGTAACCCACATTCAACCCTTGAGTGTTGGCTAACATGTTATCTGAACTTAGTAAGTATGACTTGAATACCAAGAAAAACCTTCCATTTTTGTACTGTCAGTTGTTAGGGAACTTCTCTGGCAATGTTTTAACCTTAGGCCAACTAGGATACTGAAAACATCTGGAAAACTTAACTCCTGAGATCTGTGAAAATCCTGAGCCATGATTAATGTCCTGGTGTTGCTGAAGGCACACAATTCCTTATTCACTGATTGCACACCCATGTCCAGTTCAAAGAGAGAATAAATCAGAGCCTGACTGCACACAGGAAGTCCACAGACTGATGATGCTTTAGCATGCCGTACATAAGCCTATGAACATGATGCTTTACCGACTCACAGTTCAATGCCCAAGTCTCAAGGGAGAGACTGAATGGTTAAGACTTCTCTGCAAATACCTCAAAGCTCCAGAACCACTGACACCCCTACTCTGTGTGCAAGTTAATTCTGGCATACAATCTGACAAAGGTATCTGTGTAATGCATATCCAATTGTTAATATAGTGGTTAAAGGGAGAGGGAGAAATATTTTTTGAAGTAAACCATTGCCATTAAAGCTTTCTACTCAGTTTTCCTACAACAGCAACCTGGAGGCTATCTGTTGATGAAGAACCTCTGAGAGAACAAGTCCATCCTACTTGGAAAATGGCAGTATCAGCTGACTCACAAGCAAAACAACTGCAAAATTTCATGCCTTCCATTCCTAGAGTGGGCCCAGTAAGCTGAGTTCTCTTCAGTGATCTCACATCTACTGATGGAATTAAGAAAGAAATTAACAGCAGCAGAATGGTATGAAACACACTGAGAAGACCTTCTAGAAAGCTGGCCAGAGAGCATCTCTTCCACATAACAGAATACATGGATAATAGTTTTCCACCAAACAGCTTTTGGTGAAATAGTCTATCACTTCTGAAGCTCCCCTGAGCCTTCTTTCACTTGCTAGAATA